GATATCATCTGGCACAACTTTAATCGATTACCTTAAACATCGATTTGATTTATTTAATAGAGCCAACTATTTTATTTATTACTTAAATGGCATTTGTATTGTTGCGCCTTACCCAAACTAAAATTATGACAAGCAAAAAATTCCATTCTTTTTTTTTTTTTAAATAATTGTGTACATATAACACGTTAAATTTATTGGGTTTTTTTCGCCAGGGAGAGTACTCTTCTATTTTTCGCCAAATCCTATACCAAAGTTATTTCCCTTTTAACGTGTTAATTTAACATAATATGTTGTTCAAAGATCTTAGTGCGCGGTGATGGATCATCAACCAGCCGTAAAGAATAACCAGACATTTTTTGGCAAAGCCAAACGTGGCTCTTCATGTTCGAACTCATTTGTTACCAACTCTTTATTTTCAAAGTCCACTTCTTTAGATAATACCTTCCTTAGATTACACCTCTTTCTTTTCCAACTTCCAAAAGATCACGGATTTACAGCTGTCTAGTTTTAAACTCCTTATTTTTTTAAACTAATATGATTTCAAAATCCCACGATTCCATTTACCAAGTGTCAACCTTTCAAGTGTCGAACTAGATTCAAACTCTTCATTTTGCCACCTGTTCATTTTCCAACACTTTTGGTGTCAACTCAATTTTTTTTATCTCTCTCTCATTTCTAGCTCTTTATCTTAAAGCTCCCCAAAATATACAACTTTAAAATATCAAAATGCAAAGTTTCAAAATCACAAGTTTCCGAGTATTTCGTTTTAAATTCCCTAGTGGCAAGGTTTCAAAACACCCCTAAGCTTCCAAGTTTCCACCTCCCAATGTTCCATTTTCATAAGTTTCTAACAGCCAAGCTATCCTATTGTTACAGCTGTCTAGGTTCCTACTCACTAGTTTCAAAACATTTGCTAATCCCAAATTTTTCAAATACCAAATTTCCAAACATAAAGTTTCCAATTTGTTAATAGCGCTTTAGCTTCAAACTCTTTAGATTCCCACTCTTAGGTTTCTCACTCTTAAGTTTCCCACTCTTTAGTTTCCCACTCTTTAGTTTCCCACTCTTTAGTTTCCCATTCTTTAGTTTCCCACTCTTTAGCTTCAAACTCTTTAGATTCCCACTCTTTAGTTTCCCACTCTTTAGTTTCCCCACTCTTTAGTTTCCCACTCTTTAGTTTCTCACTCTTTTGTTTACCACTCTTTAGTTTCCCACTCTTTAGTTTCCAACTCTTTATTTTCCGACTTTTTAGTTTCCCACTCTTTAGTTTCCCACTCTTTAGCTTCAAACTCTTTATATTCCCACTCTTTAGTTTCCCACTCTTTAGTTTCCCACTCTTTAGTTTCCCACTCTTTAGTTTCACACTCTTTAATTTCCCACTCTTTAGTTTCCCACTCTTTAGTTTCCCACTCTTTAGTTTCCTACTCTTTAGTTTCCCACTCTTTAGTTTTCCACTCTTTAGTTTCCCACTCTTTAGTTTCCCACTCTTTAGTTTCCCACTCTTTAGTTTCTCACTCTTTAGATTCCCACTCTTTAGTTTCCAACTCTTTAGTTTCCCACTCGTTATTTTCCAACTCTTTATTTTCCCACTCTTCAGTTTCCATCTCCAAAGTTTTAAACGTCCAAGTTTCCAACCCTAAACTTCATACTCCCTAGTTTCAAAGGAAAAGAAAACTCAACTTTCAGCAATAAGATTTCTGGCGAACTACAAACACTCAAGTTATTTAACCACATTCTGTCTATTTTGCTTTATTTATTTTTTTCTTTATTTTTCCTTTTTTTTTTTCTAGGCACCCCAAACTTTTTTTTTTTTTTTTTTTTTTTTTTTTTGGGGGGGGGGGGTTTCAAGCCTCCACATACCTTTGTTGAAGGAAATAGAAGGACAGTGCACTATTTACTATCCCATAACGTATTCCACCATTTCCTTCACACAACTCGAACGTTGTCCTTCATTTAGCATCATTTATAATACCCTGAAGCTCGTTTTCATTGTGCCCTGAGACCCGTTGTATTCATACCCCAAGATTTCCATGTTTATCGTACCCTTAGAACTCCATGTTTATTGCACCCATACGCCCGTGTTCATTCTACGCCGAAGCCATGGTGTTTTGCTTGTGCGTTGCGATTAAAGATCCAGCCGTGCAGCCGGGTCATGTGTCTTAGCTTTCGTGTTTCCCCTTGCGTTACATGTATTATCACAAAGTTTTAATCCCAAACCCCAACAACTGAAGCTCAATGATTCAGCAGCATACCTCCATTCTGAACCCCAATAACTGAAGCTCAATGATTCAGCAGCCTACCTCCATCCTGAACCCCAACAACTGAAGCTCAAATTTCAGCAGACTACCTCCATTCTGAACCCCAATAACTGAAGCTCAATGATTCAGCAGCCTACCTCCATCCTGAACCCCAACAACTGAAGCTCAATGATTCAGCAGCCTACCTCCATTCTGAACCCCAACAACTGAAGCTCAATGATTCAGCAGCCTACCTCCATCCTGAACCCCAACAACTGAAGCTCAATGATTCAGCAGCCTACCTCCATTCTGAACCCCAACAACTGAAGCTCAATGATTCAGCAGCCTACCTCCATCCTGAACCCCAACAACTGAAGCTCAATGATTCAGCAGCCTACCTCCATTCTGAACCCCAACAACTGAAGCTCAATGATTCAGCAGCCTACCTCCATCCTGAATCCCAACAACTGAAGCTCAATGATTCAGCAGCCTACCTCCTCCACACACGCATCACATTGCCCATCAGTTACCACAAAGGAGGATTAATGGGTAATATTTGCCTACGTCTATGTTCAAATCATCTACACACATATACACACTCAAAATGTCCACACAAAAAACGGCAACAAATGTGTGGGTTTTTTTTTATTAATCAAAATAATGTTCATCTCAGTGTTCCATTGAATTACATTGAAAATCACAAGAGACTTATCCCGACGCATTTTTTAATATTTTTAGATACACGCTCCTTTAAAAATTAAACAAAAGTTTCTGAAAACAACTAATTTTAGCAGGCTTTGCGTTCCTTTTTTCTTATTCGCCGTTAATATTTAATATTGCTAATAATGATAATACATGTGATAATAATAATAATTATTATTATTTTCATGAAATATAACAATAATAATAATGAAAAGGATTACAATGATTATCAAAAGGGTGATCAAGTTTCTGTATGTTTGTCTGTGCCGCATACGTTTCCTTAGTGGTATGCTAAGACTGTAAATGGCAGTGGGCTTATGTAACAACATAAGGTTCTAGGATGTATAGGTCAAACTTTTTAGGCGTACAATTCATATTAAACATTGAAATAGCGCTGGATAATAATATCCTCTGTTTGGATATGATAGTTTCTCGACAGTTATCTATGCAGCTATTAATTCTTCCACATTGAAGGATAATAAGAATTTGCAAACGTCAACAGGATCTAAAAGATAATGGAAATTTTACGGTAATTTCATGGATTTCCATGTTTTCCTGTAAGTTTTTTCCTTGCTGACGAATTTATCTTGCATAAATAAGTGCTTGAAGTTTCTATCTTATTCTAAATAGTTACATAAAGGATTTAAAAGTATAGAAATGACCTTTTTATGTTTCTGTTGATGTACTTGATTTTTCTTAAATGCTATCAAATCAGAATAAAAGGGGAACAAATATTTTTTCTAGATATTTCAAAGTTAGTGAAAGAGATTCTACATTATTTATTTCCTTATCATAGCAATAGCAAACACTCGAAGTTTTAATTTACAATGCAAACTTCTACGTCAATTGTCGCATCAAGGGTGGAAATAAGTAATTGTAACTTTCATAATCCCTTTCAAAATATCGGTCTTTGGTTTTAATGGGTTCACTTTTAAAATCTAGTTACAATAAAAAATCCTCAATGGTGGAAATAATTAAAAGAAAGTCATTTTAGCGCCGGGAGCACATATATTTTAAATGTAAAAAGCATCATCTTGGGAACATTACTTCTGATTAGAAAGGGATCAATCTGAATTTGTAATTTAAATATTTATATGAAAATTTTGTATAGACTTCTTATCTTACGAATAATTAAAATACCTCATTCTGGAATGGGTCCCAGTCGCGGATACTCCTTTCATTTACTTGTAAAAACGGACATAGCCTTGGCATTGGCGAACAATAATTTTTATTGAGATGGCTTTGAAAAGTCAGATCGCTCTTAAATCACGTGTGATTTTAATAGGCCACTGCATTAAATTTAACGGAAAATTGCATAGAAGTAAGAAACATACACAAGAGGTATTATAAATCTGACTTTTTTTATAGAAGAAAATTTTAATTTTTGATTGTTTTTAACCGAAATATGTTTACAGGGCCCTAACGTTATAAGTTCTCTTATACACATTAGGAACCCCAAGCAACACCAGGCATATTGGGTAGGGAAAATAAATTGCTGTCTGTAGAGGAACTTTTCAACATTAAAAAATAAATTCGTTAATAACACCATAATGTATTTTTTGAATAAAGAATCAACATGTAATACCGTTAAATAATAATTTAATATATCGTAAAATGCCAACCCGGTCCGTAAAATATTAATATTAGATAAATCGTCCAACAAAAATAAATAAGTACCGTTCCTGCTGCAATGAAATAATCTGACAAGATAAAAATTTGAGAAGCACTGCCTTAGGAGTGGGCACACAATAAATAAAACACATTCAAATATCCCTATAAAAAAAGCCATAACTAAATTTTGAGAGATTAATAAAAAAAAAAAAATAATTATCTAGGTATTTAGATATGGGTGTAACGGTGCCCTTAAAAAGAGCGCAATATTCAATCCCGGACGTAAGCACTTAGTGTGATTTTTAAAGAGTAAGATACTTGAATGAATGGTTTGTCAATAAGTCTTAAGAGATGGTGAGTTAACGTTTTGTGGGCGAGCCACTTCTAAACGAACATCGGCACGGGAGCTTGTTCTAGATTTGGAACGTAACATGGTCGTACAATAATCTCTTACAGGAGCCGTGTCCTTAACATTTCTCTCAGTCTATACGTCATCTCCCATCGGGACACGGGGAGGATGTTGTCCTCTGGCACAAAACTCAAAAGGTCTCCAGGAAGTTCCGACAGTAACTGCTTATCTACAACAACCACAACACGGTCAGGATTGGCCGGTGTCAGGGCGTAAATAGCTGACTTTATTGTAAATAATGACCAGTGGTCATCGTTAAGAAACGCTCTGTTGACCACTAGAAGGATCCTCCAACTCGAGTTGATGGCCTCAACGATCCCCTGGGCCATATCGAATGTCAGAAGGCTGTCGCGGTCTTGGAGGTAAGTGGTCAATCCCAGTGTGGCCTCAATATATTGTCGCAACTCTGTACACGCGAAAACGTAATCGCGGTCAGCGTATCCAATGAACACCCCGATCTTGTAATCTTTTGATTTGAGAACCTTGAATTTGGTGAAAATCTGGAGCAAGCTTGAGAGGATGAGAGTTTTGTTTCTTGTGATGACAAATGTGGTCAAAAATCCGATGATCATTGTGCAGAGGAGGAAAATGGACACGTTGAAATAGAATTGACCCGAACATTGTCGCCACATGACTACAGCATCTACAAACGCCGAGGTAGAGGACAAAACCCCATCATTTTTCAAACAGCTGAAATTGCCGCCACGGTCAAGAACAACGCTTGTGTGCCCCAGCCAGTACAGAAAACGGACATTTTCGCATATGCACAACATAACATTTCCACCAAGCTTGAGATGAAAACCGCCTACATCTGCTGCCAACTGGTCAAGTGTGTCTGTCGTCTCCCGGTCAAGAGAGACTATAGCGTTGTTTTGGAGGTCTAGAACTTGAAGTTCGGGTGTGTTTTTGAGGTTGAAAGGCACGCGACTAAAACGGTTCCCGGAAAGAAGAAGGTGGGTGATGTTGTGGTTGGCTGAGAAGGTGTTAGGTGACAGTAACGTCAAGGAGTTTCTCTCCAGGCTCAATGTCTTGAGGTCGGACAGCTTCTGAAACAGCCTTTCACTGCTGGCACTTATAAAATCAAGATCTAGGTTCGTTTCTGACATGTCTAAATAGTCCAGTCTTTGGAAGGGGTCAAAAAATGTGGCAGACAAACTGTCCAACTGGATGCCAGATAAAATAAAAGTTTTTAATCCATTCAATCCATCAATTGTGCCAGTAAAATCCATAAACCCATTGTCTGAAAGATCCAGGTAAACCAAGTTTTGCGCACCAAGAATTGTGACCGAACTGTCAAGCCTTGAACGAGAAACGCAGTTGCTTATGTCGATGAAGTGCAAGGAGTCTGATACATACAAAAAAAAACCAGAAACAGGATCTAGATCGAATCTTAAGGTCTCAACGTTGTTGACTTCTGTCTCGCTTTGATTTGTCTTCAAGCTTCGATTCTTGTACATTTTTTGATCGAACTTTTTAACGGTTGGAACTGTCTTGTCCGGAACAACGCTCACTTTCGTGCGGGGTCGGAGACAGTTCCGGATAAAAATCACCTCTAAATTCCTCAAGGTCAGGAGTCGCGCTACTCCCATAATTGTTCCTTTTAAAACATTATCGGACAGATCGATGAACTTCAGGCACGCCTGCCATGTTTCACTCACCAACGCGTCATTCGTCACGACGTAAATGTTAGAATTTCTGAGGCTGAATTCACTGACGCAGATGTCCAGTAAATACTTTGTTTTGTTTCTGTCCAGAATCCCGTCATGACTTATCAGACCAGGCGCTTCGTTCTGGCTTGTCAACAAGAGTGATACAAATAGTATATCAGTCATGTTAGTCGCCTGAAGAGGTTCTAACGCGCGCAACGTCTTTTTTACCCCAGCAGGGATTGCGTTTATCTCGAGCCTGATCAAATGTTTCAGATGGACCAAGGCTTGGGTGTCTATTTCTGTCAACTCCTTTAGAATTATAAGTCTCAGTTCTTTGAGATGAGGAACATTGATGAAACTTTGATTGTTGATGACCTTGGCAGCGCCAGACAAGGTCAAGCTGGAAAGGTGTCTTAGCTCTTTAAACTCCTCACCTAATGATACCACCACATCGACGGTGTCGAGCGAGAGTTTGGTCAGATTGGTCAAGCGTCTCACGTCGGGAAAGCTCGCGTTTCGAAGACTTTGTTCCTGGACGATCAGGAGAGATTTCAGATTCAGTAAGGATGAGAAAATATTCAATGGAAAACTCTTTTTAGGAATGAGGAAATTGTATTCTAAATTTAGAACTTCTAAACTCTCCAACCCCAAAAATGCGTCATCCAAAATTCTTTCTAATTTGTTGTGCGATATGCTTAAGGTAACAAGTCGTTGAAGCTGCGAAAAAGTTCCTTTACTCAGGAAAGAAATAAAATTGTAGTCTAACAGAAGGCTTGTAGCATTCGATTCAAACCAGGAAGAATTAACTACGTTAATTCCTTTGTATGAACAATCCACTATAACTTTTTCTCGGTAATAAGTAGTTGAACACGGCGATATGTCCGTAGGAAAAGTAACGGCCTGAAAAGTTTGTGTATGAAATCGTGTACCCTCTTCCATCTTTTGTCGTGTCCCCACCGGATGTTGTAAGGTAAAATATCTTTCTTTGACAATATCTGATTGTTCTGATTGTTCCTTTAGATTAAAGGACCATATTTCTTTTCCATCCCAGATATCTGAACGCGTGTTGTCATGTGGATTCATTGGACTTCTTTTGTGTACATCGAGGGCCACAGTTTTTCGTCCGCAATAGCAAAGTTGTACAAAGATTATGATGAGTACAGATGCATTTAAAGTCGAAGACATCATTAGGATCTTCTTCACTGTATCCATTCGGTCTAACCTCGAGGTGAATTTTAGCTTCAGGTCTGACAACACGTTGAATTTAACATAATATCCTTTAGGTAAGTTATCGCAGTGAATTCATCACCAGGTCTCATAGTTCTTACATCGTAGCATTTAAAGAAAACTTTAAAGACATTCACTTTATGAGATAATGAAAATCCCTCGGCACGTCACCATGTTACCGAAACCACGTCTCCTATCTTCAGCTCTTCAACTTTATATATCTTTGGGTATGCAAGCTATTTCACGCTATAAAAACATGATCTGGCTTCACCACGACTCTTAAGTTTCAGCGCAACGTACACGGGATATCGGCTGGCCCTCTTTTATGTTTATTTAATTGCTCTTCAATGTTAGCATGGGAGATTTCACTATGGCCTATTTCCTGAAAACTATGCAAATGAGATGCCCCTTACCGAGGAATTCAGCGTCCCTAGACTTTTACAGTCCGATTAGTCACACGGAAGTGTGTCCTTGTGTACTTAACGAATGCCCCTATATTTATTTTTCTTAACCTTCTTTCATTTTTCTAGTTTGGCGACTTCTTCATGAGTTGACATTATTTTCTTTTTTAAGCTATAAAACGTCTTACGGTTCAATCGCATGTTTTTTTGTAAACCCTGCTGCTTTAATAGCTGTCTGAAAGTGTACAACCGCACCCTAGACTGCAAGCACAAAACTCATAGTGTACAACTGGTATGGCATAACTACACTATCGTCCGTGAAACTTTCTGATGATGCTGCTGTCTTATTACTACGTTTGAATGAAAAAGGAATTTCAAAATGGCTTGTGAATAGTAGTTGATGGCTCCTCTCGGAATACTCTCGGTCACGGGTCCAGGGATGCTCACTTTAGGGGATTCTGGGCACGTTGCGAATTTATTATTATCTTCGTCTGACTTACAGTTCAGTGTCACACTGTTATGGGGGGGGGGGGGGGGGGAAGGGGGGGGTTATTTAAAAAAAGGTCATATAATTATTTCACCGATTGTTTTATGAGATGATCTTTAATTTCTTAAAAATTTGATTAACAGAGGAGATTTACACCCGACTTTTATATCTATTATGCAACCGAACCTGCCTGAACGCGTCTGTGCCAAATTTGCCTTGACGCCTGACTTTGTTCCTCATCTGCCGGAACGCATGGCTCGAAATACAGACTATAAATTAATTAAGACTGAATATTTTCCATAAAAAGAATGTTGAACAGGTCATAATAAAACCCGGATGTGAAGATTGAAATTAAGCTAGAAGGGTGCCAACCAACACATGAGCCTCAACGACAGTGGTTCTCCTCGAGTTGAGAAACAATCGGTATCAAATATCGGACACACCTGCCACAGTGGTTGTCCTCGAGTTGAGAAACAATCGGTATCAAATATCGGACACACCTGCCACAGTGGTTGTCCTCGAGTTGAGAAACAATCGGTATCAAATATCGGAGGACACACCTGCGTAACAGTAGGCAGAGCAGGATACAAATGGGTTTTGCTCAGAAAACGGTTACACGCTGTATTTGAGTAGTGGTGTATCGGCAGTGGCGTAGCTAGGATGGTAAACGGAAATTTTTACGAAAGAAATTTGAACGAAGGACTATTGTTTGATTGAATTTTTTTTTTTCAAAAGGAAGTTTGTTAGAAGAGAAATAAAGCGAGGGAAAAAAATTAAACAATTTACATTTTTCCTGATTCCTGAACTGTATTTTTGGGGAAAATTGAAAAACATATTGCTACAGTCTTAAAAAAACGAAAGCCCTATTTACCCCGTTCCAGAATCATTCAGGTTTTGGACATCTATATGTGTATGTCCTCAAAATGGCATTACGCCTTTGAGTCCCATGCCATAATGGGTAAAACCCATGTTTATGCACGTACCATAACGTCCTGGTTTGACGTTTGACAGTTTGACAGTTTGACAGTTTGACAGTATGCCCCGGTGTGAATCAGAATTAAATGAAAAACGTATCCGCCCCATCTATCGTCACCATAAACACAAACACAAACACAATTCATAGGAGAAATAGTTTGTGATCACCACAAACACAACTCATAGGAGAAATAGTTTGTGATCACCACAAACACAATTCATAGGAGAAATAGTTTGTGATCACCACAAACACAATTCATAGGAGAAATAGTTTGTGATCACCACAAACACAACTCATAGGAGAAATAGTTTGTGATCACCACAAACACAACTCATAGGAGAAATAGTTTGTGATCACCACAAACACAATTCATAGGAGAAATAGTTTGTGATCAAATCCAGATTTAATACATTTTGGCAAAATTCCGCGTGAAACGACGTGAAAGCTCTAAGCTTCTATTTCGCAATGAGACTCTACTGATGAGTAAGCCCATGAATAATTTTAAGCCTGCATAAGAGGACTAGACCAAATGTTCTTGCAACATATTACCTGGTGCACGTTTCCTAATGGGAAGATTACATTAATATGATATATATATATCAATAGAGAATTAACGATGGTAATCTAATCTTGACTAAAAATGATCAATGGCAATGTAAATAAATTAATAATATGATTCATATAAAGAGGGGGAATTGAAAGAGAACCATCTTTTCAAGAATAAAATATTCAATTGCTAAGCTTTTCCGACATTTATGGACAGTACGACGTAAAAAAAACAAAAACTTTTCTTTCAAAGTTCATTTAAGTCTGGAATATTTAAAGCATGAATAGTCCTTTTGCCATCAATAACCAAGATATACGATGTGACTATATATATTCAGTAATACCCGGGGTACTAGCCAGGCATTAAGCTAGCCCAGGTCAAGTCTCTTAAAATGTGCACCTGTGCCCCCCCTCCCCATAGAAGATTAATAAAAAGCTTTGTCATAATCACCAGGGCTCGGTGCTAGGCCCCTATTTGTTCCTAGCATATATCAATGACCTGCCAGAGAAGCTGACCTCCCAAGCAAGACTGTTTGCAGACGACAAGGCGGTGTATACAGGGTTTCTTTCAGCTATATCTCGGGGGGGGGGGGGCACTGCCCCCCAGGGAAAGCCAAGTGCCCCACGGAGCAAAGATATGTCCAACAATTAATCAACTGGCCCTGCTGACACCGCCCCCCCTAAAACTTTAGATTAGGGAAATCTTAAGTGCCCCCCCCGGGGGGGGTGGAAATTTTCTGAAATAATCACTGAGTGTATAGGACGATCACCAACAGTTCTAACCAGGACCAGCTACAACAGGACCTCTATCGGTTAGCCGAGTGGGAGCTGGGACATGGAATTTCACCCTGTCAACTGCCAGGCCCTGTCAGTCTCCAGCAACTCTCAAATTTCCTACTCTCAAATTTCCAACTCCCAAATTTCCAACTCCCAAATTTCAAAACTCTCAAATTTCCAACTCTCTAATTTCCAACTCTCCAGTCTCCAACTCTCAATTTCCCTAATCTAAAGTTTTAAAATCCAAAATTTTCAACTCAAAATTATTCAAATTCCTAATGTCCTCTTCGTAAGTCTACAGTTCTCATGATTTCTTAATGCACAGACAAATTAACAATGAAACAAACCCCACGCCCTTCCACTGTTTACGATATTAACCTTTTCTTTAACAAATACGAAGTTCTATCTGTCAATGCATTTTGATTATTTTTTTTAAAAAATTATCTTTAAAATTCTATGAAATGTTTTTTGTATAAATCAATGAAAATGTGTTTACCTCTTTGGTTCTCATTAATGATATAGATAAATACAATTGAAACATTGAAGAGGTATTCTGTGCCACGTTTTACGTTGTATTCTTTACTGCCCAGCATACTGTCGCAGAATGGCTCATAGATGAGTGAAGACTTCGTGAAAGACACAGTTGTCCAATTGGGGTGGGTTTGAGGATACAACTGTGATTGCGTGAAAAGATGGAACAACTGTCCGTGACTGAAGACCGGTTTTGGTAGATAGAGGCATAACTTTTTGAAACTTTGTCCCTGTGCTTTATTCATTGTCATTGCAAAGGATGATCTAAGAGGACATTGTCACCGTTTAAAAGTAAAAGGTAAATTTGAATCTGATGGTGTGAGGGGAATCCGGGGAATACAACCCTTCCCCAATGATACGTCACTGCACACTTTTTATTTCACGCCCATGAACTATATATTAACTATTCTCATGTCCCAACCACTTTTTTAAACCGAATATTTTTTACACAATACTTTAATTGAGACGACTTCATTTCCGAAAAGAAAATATTACGCACCAAACGCAATAGCGTCATTAAAAAATAGATGTATATCATTTAGCGTAGTTATCGGGAATTATATTTTTCGCGTTAGTGAACTCATTATTTAACCACACCCTGGCGTATCTATATATAGCCTGCTTGATGGTGTTTGACCTTTGCTGGCGAATTATATATATAGATTGTCAATATAAATTAGATATTAAAGAAATTTACTAAACATAGACTAATAACAAACTTTACTTGCAGTTATATGAAATAAAATCACAATGGTTGAATATGAAAATAATCTATTTAAAAAATATATCCATCTTTAATGGCTGTTTCTCCTGGGTCTTTACTTCTGAAAGCTGTATTTATATCTCTCTCTTTCTCTCTAACTCTCTCTCTTTTCCTCCCTCTCTGTCTCTCTTCTCCCTCTGTCTCTTTCTTTCTCTTCTTTCTCTCTCTCCCTCTCTCTGTCCTTCTCTCTCTCTCTCTCTCTTTCTATGTCTTGAAAGCATGTTTTCTCATATTTTAACCCACCCCCCCCCATATGCAAACCACAAATGATTCAATTAACTGCGCTTTTTCGTGTGTTTCTCTCTCACAAAATATTCGAAAGGAAAATTGACTCACTTCCCGTCATCCTATCGAGCTGATACTTGACACATAGACTCGTTGCCGATGACAACAAATTCGTTCAAATTTGTTAAATAACTAGGGCTCTCTAGAATTCAGGCAATTTTTGAAGTTTATGTATAGTAATTAATTGTAACCTAAAATTATGAATTGCATCTTTTACTGATTTTCTTTTCATGACACTTTGCCGTGAAAGTGGCACCAGGGGCGGAACGCTGCCCCCCCCCTTCCAGCACCCCATCCCCTTCCCAAACCACTGGAGCGAAGGTAAGTTGATTGTCACTTGCTTTTTTATGCATGGATTCAACTTCTAGTTGTGTTAAATATCCCTCTTACACTACCCCCATTTCTCAAATTCGTAAAGGATATGTAACCACATGCAGAGATACCCTATCAGCCACTCGGCCTCGGGGCTAGGATCCTCATGATTTTCAAGATTAGCCTCAAATAGCTCATTTACTGAATAAAATTATTTCTACCTTCCTTCGTGCTGACTTAACTCTTGCTTCTTTCCTCTTATAATCTTGACCAATTATAATATCATCGTTTTGGGTGGTAGCTACCAAACGTGTGTAAAACACGATAATATTTATCCTCTTGACACACTATTACCCGGGGGTGGGGGGGGGGCCTTTGTATTGATTTTAATGTAAAGTTTATTGCTACATCTTCAAAGGAAATTCGCGAGTTATTCAAAACAAAATGTACCGATTTTAGGATTATCCAAATGCGTTGGCTGTTAAGAAACTTAGGCAGCAATCATGTGTTGAACTGTATGGAACAGTTGGCAGAGAGTCTCAAACTAAAGTTGACAAGCCGCCCTCGCTTTTTTTTTTCCTTTTTTTCCTGTAGTGAAAACAATTCTTGACGAAATAGTTAAGCTTATGAAGATGTACTTCCCAATAAAAAGCATGTGGCATAACAATTTTACCTTCAATTCACCTTAGCAATACGGTCGTATACGGACAAAAACGAAAAAGGTAGAATTCTTCATCGACCATCGTTGACAGAAAAGAATGCAGACATCCGAGAAAGCTCAAGGGGCAAATTTTCTTGGCAGCTCAAAGAATTGAATTAAAATGTAAACTTGCGCAAAAATAATACAAAAAAACTCTTCTTATTAAAAAATCACGCTTTCTCTTTATGAAAAACCACATATTAGCACTCATCCAATAAACATATAGTACTTCTATTACTTCCTTGAGATTTACAATCAAAGACTTTGCTTCGCTTTTTCACCACAGATTACATTTTATGTGTGTTTTCGAAATTTGAACAATCAGGATACATTAAAGAAAGTAACATTAACTTTTTAGTCCAATAGGTCAGTGCTTCTGCAAATCGGTAAAAGTAAGCGAAACATTAGTCAATAAGCCGTAAGAAATAGAAAAATAACTAATTATTGTAAAAAGCAAATTTGCAGATGAAAATTATCAGCATCGTTTCCGAAAGCAATGTAAAAATTCCAAACAGGATGACCTCTCTGAAAATTTTGAGAATCACTGCACATAAAGTTTCATACACAAAGAAATAACAGAGATGTTTGTTGGGCTTTGGGGGGAGAGAGATGAAATGTGCATAACTAATAATTTAACAGCTTAATCACATACACTGAATAACACCTTGTTCGTGTTTTATTTTAACGTAAGTAACAATGGTAGTTAACTCTTACAGGAGCCGTGTCCTTAACATCTCTCTCAGTCTATACGTCATCTCCCATCTGGACACAGGGATGATGTTGTCCTCGGGCACAGAACTCAAAAGGTCTCCTGGTAGCTCCGACAGTAGTTGTTTATCTACAAGAACCACAACCCGGTCAGGATTGGCCGGTGTCAGGGCGAAAATAGCGGACTTCATAGTAAATAATGACCAGTGGTCATCATTCAAAAACGTTCTGTTGACCACTAGAAGGATCCTCCAACTCGAGTTGATGGCCTCAACAATCCCCTGTGCCATATCGAATGTCGGCAAGAGGTCTCGGTCTTGAAGGTAAGTGGTTAATCCAAGCGTCGTTTCGATATAGCGTCGTAAATCTGTGCACGCGAACATGTAATCGCGGTCAGCGTATCCTATGAACACCCCGATCTTGTAATCTTTTGATTTGAGAACCTTGAAGTTGGTGAACATCTGGAGCAAGCTTGAGAGGATGAGAGTTTTGTTTCTGGTGATGACCAATGTGGTCAAAAATCCGATGATCATTGTGCAGAGGAGGAAAATTGACAAGTAGAAGTAGAATTGACCCGCACACTGCCGCCACACGATAATGGGATCTACGAACGCCTTCGTGTGTGTTAAAACCCCATCATTGTTAATACAGCTAAAGTTACCGTCACGATCAAAAAGAACGCTTGTGTGCGCCAGCCAGTACAAGAATGGGACATTTTCACAGACGCACAACAAAACGTTTCCGCCCAGCATGAGCTGAAAGCCACCCGAATCTGCTGCCAGCCGGTCAAGGTTGTCAGTCGTCTCCCGGTCAAGGGAGACTATGGCGTTGTTTTGGAGGTCAAGAACTTGAAGTTCGGGTGTGTTTTTGAGGTTGAAAGGCACGCGATTGAAACGGTTCCCGGAAAGAAGAAGGTGGGTGATGTTGCGGTTGGCTGAGAAGGTGTTTGATGACAGTAACGTCAAGGAGTTTCTCTCCAGGCTCAATTTCTTGAGGTCGGACAGCTTCTGGAACAGCCTTTCACTGCTGGCACTTATAAAATCAGGATTTAGGTTCGTTTCTGACAAATCTAAATGCTCCAGGCTTGGGAAGGGGTCGAAAAATGTGACAGACAAAATGTCCAACTGGTTGCCAGATAAAATAAAAGTTTTAAATCCAGTCAATCCATTAATTACGCCGGTAAATTCCCAGAATCCGTTGTCTGAAAGATTAATGTACTCAAGGTTTTTCCCACCAAAAAAGTTCACTGAATTTCCCATCTTTCCATCAGTAACGCAGTTGCTAATGTCGATGAATTGCAGGGAGTCTGATAAATATACAGCGTAACCGGAAACAGGATCCAGATTCAAACTTAGGGTGCTAACTCTTTCGACTTCAGATTCTCTTTCATACCTCATCGAGCTTTCTTCGCTGTTTATTTTGGCAACTGTCTCACTTCCGGTTGGATTTGTCTTATCTGGGACTGCACCCGTTTTTTTGCGGGATCCGAAACAGTCCCGAATAGAAAACCCCTCTAAATGTCTCATGGTCAGGAGTCTCGCTAATCCCAGAAGTGGCCCTTTTAAAGGATTTCCTGACAGATCGATGAACTTCAGGCACGCCTGCCATGTTTCACTCACCATCGCGTCATTCGTTACGACGTAAATGTTAGAATCTATGAGACTGAATTTACTGACACAGATTTCAAGTAAATACTTTGTTTTGTTTCTGTCCAGAATCCCGTCCTGGTTTATCAGACCAGGAGCTTGATTCCTGCTGGTCAACTTAATGTACCGAAGGAGTATCTCGGTCATGTTCTGGTTCTGCAAGGGTTCTAACGCGCGCATCGTCTTTGTCACTCCTATTGTGCTTGAGTTTATCTCGAGCCTGTTCAAAAAACGTAGCTGTGCCAAGCCTTGCGTGTCTATTTCCGACAACTGACCCAGGTTTGTCAGCCTCAGTTCTTTGAGATGAGGAACATTGATGAAACTTTGATTGCTGATGACCTTGGCAGAGCCAGACAAGGTCAAGCTGGAAAGCACCTTTAGCTCTTTAAACTCTTCACCCATTGACACTACTACATCGACGGTATCGAGCGAGAGTGTGGTCAGATCGGTCAAGCGCCTCACGTCGGGAAAGCTCTTGTTTCGAAGACTTAGTTCCTGGACGAGCAGGAGGGTTTTCAGATTCAGTAACGATGAGAATACATTCAGTGGAAAACTTTTTTTGGGCATGAGGTAATTGTATTCTAAATTTAGAAATTCTAAACTCTCCAACCCCAAAAATGCGTCATCGAAAATTCGTTCTAATTTGTTACGCGTTATGCTTAAGGTACGAAGTTGTTGAAGATTCGAAAAGATTCCATTAGTTAGGACAGAAATTGAGTTGTAGTCCAGCAGAAGGCTTGTAGCATTTGAATCAAACCACGAAGAATTGATTACGTTAATTCCTTTATATGAACAATCCACTATAACTTTTTCTTGGTAGTAAGTAGTTGAACACGGCGATACTTCCAAAGGAAATGTCAAAGTCTGTTTAGTTTTTGGATGAAATGGTGTATCCTCTGCCCTCTTCTGTCGTGTCTCCGCCGCCGAATGTTCTCTGGTGTAATATCTTTTCTTGACAATATCTGAATGTTTAAAGGAGTTCTTTATATTAAAGATCCATAGATCTTTTCCATCCCCGAGTTCTGAGCGAATGTTTTCATGTGGATTCATTGTCAGTCTTTTTTGTACTTCGAGTACCACATTACTGTGTACGCAGAGGCTAAGCTGTACAAAGATGATAATGAGTGCAGCTACATTTGGCGTCGAAGACATTATTAGGACCTTTTGTACAATTGGGTAACACGGTGAACTTACCACTATATCCATTCTAAGATTGTATCCATTAGGTCTGTTATCACAGTGAATTCATCATTGTACCGAATTATTTAAAGATAACTTTTAAAAAATGTATTTGTTTCGTTTAGAATATTCCCACTTCACGTCATCAAATTGACAAAACCATGTCGCATTTCTTTAACGCATTGTCCTTCCTTACGTCTTCATTGGCTTGACAAGCTATCTATAGTTATCAAGACATAAAGCCAATTAAATATACCTGAAACGTTTTTAACACAGTATACACGGATTTCGACATACTCTCTTGGTCACGCTTCCAATGATTTCTCCTCATTGAGGCCCGAAGCACTGCCAATGAAAGGGGAGGGGGGCTTAGTTATGTATTCTTTGTCCGTAGTCGTTTATTCGCGACAATTCATACCTGTATTTCTACGAATGCGTGTATTACATTTTTTCTATTTCTCCAGGTAAATAACGTCTTTATTAAGTACGTAATTGTAACATTACATTTTGCGACTGCACTGTTGTCTTTAAAGCTTGCTTCTTGTCTGACCGTATTTTAGTGTACAGCCAGACTGTAGTGCAGGTACAAATCTTGTACTGCAATTATATATCACTCTTCTCCCAGGACAAATCTTGTAGTGTACCACCACACAAGACTGCAAGTACAACTACATTGAATTTGTTTTTAACTTGCTTATGATACTGATATCTCTCAGGGAAGTAAACAGTAACCGTATATCCTTTTTCTTCCCTAAGTAATCTATTTAAACTTATATCAATTGAATCAAAATAGCAAACAACTCCCAAATGATGTTATCAGACAATATAATCTTTTTAGAAATGGGTCGTGTAGGTAGTCATGCGTGCCAAGATGTATTGAGGCGCCTGTCGAAAAAATGTATATTATAAATATTTCTCTTCGCTGCATTTCTTTCTTTATCTTTAAAAGGCCTTTTATTACTCCGTCTGGGGCATAGGCGTCAGCGAAAATTTTCCATTCACCACGGTCCTGTGCTTTTCTTTCCAGTGGCTTCCAGGTGTATCCCGTACTTAGCGCGTCTGCCTCCAGCTCGCGTCTCCATGTATCCTTTGGCCTTCCTCTTTCTTGTTCCTTGTGGGTTCCATTGTAGGGATTGTCTGGTGATGCTTGGCCTTCCTCTTTCTTGTTCCTTGTGGGTTCCATTGTAGGGATTGTCTGGTGATGCTTGGCCTTCCTCTTTCTTGTTCCTTGTGGGTTCCATTGTAGGGATTGTCTGGTGATGCTATCCTCGCTACATTTAGTTGAGCTCTTTTTTTTTTTGCGTGGTCAATCCATAGACAAAAAAAGAAACAAGGTGTTGCTGGGCTTTATATAGTAGATGTAGCCAATATACTCGGCTTTGCTGGTCTTATATAGTAGATATAGCCAATATACCCGGCTTTGCTGGTCTTATATAGTAGATATAGCCAATATACCCGGCTTTGCTGGTCTTTTATTATAGATATAGCCAATATGCCAGGCTTTGCTGGTCTTATATAGTAGATATAGCCAATATACCCGGCTTTGCTGGTCTTTCATAGTAGATATAGCCAATATACCCGGCTTTGCTGGTCTTTTATAGTAGATATAGCCAATATACCCGACCTTGCTGAGCTTATAGAGTAGATATAGCCAATTTATCCGGCCTTGCTGAGCTTTTTATTGTAGACATACCCAATGTACCCGGCTTTGCTGGTCTTATACTTATATAGTTGATAAAACCAATATACCCGGCTTTGCTGAGCTTTTTATAGTAGATATAGCCTATATACCCGACCTTGATGAGCTTATAGAGTAGATATAGCCAATATACCCGGCCTTGCTTAGCTTATAAAGTAGATATAGCCAATATACCCGGCTTTATAGAGTAGATATAGCCAATATACCCGGCTTTACAGAGTAGATATAGCCAATATACTCGGCTTTATAGAGTAGACATAACAAACATACCCGACTTTGCTCGGGATTGTATGCTGAAAGATTGTCATCAAGCGTCCTAAGCAAACACGTAGTCAAACACAATTGCCGATGCATGCACCAAAAAATAACTTAACAAGAACGTCCCTCTAGGCCATTCAATATGAACATAATTGTCATATATTTTACTCTTTACCCTCTACATTTTATAATGTGCTTCCTTATTGCTTTTGGTTAAAGGGAATTAGACCCCCTTTTCCAGGAACCATCTATATTTCTTCAGGAATTACCTTTTCGAATTTGGTTTCAATCCATTTTTTTTACATTGTGATTATTCGACCCGTCTACAAACAAACTTAAAAACAAATTACAAACAAAAACAAACATATTAAAAATTGGCAATTTAAAATTTTTGCATTTGCAATGAAAGCATCTAAAGTGTATCTATTACTCTTAAAATTTATATATCTCTATAAAATACTTAACATCAAATGGCAATGCAAGATAAGATAATATGGACAAGATAAGAAAATATATTAAGATAAAATGATAATATGATAAGATAAGATTCTTTTATTGATCTTAATAAAAGGAAATGTTTGTTTTTTTATTATTATTCTTAGAGTGTACATATTCATTTTCAGCAATTACATAAATATTATTACAAAAACAAACATCTATCATCTAGAACAGGCCTGTACAACATACGACCCGCTGGCCGCATGTAGCCCACCAGCACCCACTTTGTTGCCCGCGAGGCAACGAAAAACTCTTTATTCTTATTATTTTCTTAATAGCTTTCCCCTTGACCTATATTCTTTTGGCCCGCACAAGTCCTGTCTTATTTTCTTTTGACCCGCACAAGATTTTCATTATGTATTACGGCCCGCCTTAGATTTTGAGTTGTGCAGGCCTGATCTAGAACAGTTGAACACAAGATATCTAAAAGTACTTTACTCAATAAGTGACCATTTTGACTTTAATAGTGATAATTTAATTTTTTTTTAATTTAAGCAGCCGGGAGAGAACGCTGGTCAACTCTTACAGATTAGTGAACAAATTATTTTTTTTTTAAATCTTTATGTTCTTACTTTTAGGGCAAGAATTTACCCTGAACGAGCTTACTCTTATTTATCTGTGATGAAGAGGGTGGGACGTACCAACTAATTTGCTTCATTTTTACTATTAAAATTTTACTTAACCGAAGGCAGTTTCCTTCGAGGGAAATCACTTGCTCTCTTGATTAGTCTATGACATCTGTGTTTGATAAGAAGCTATAAATTCCCCACACCAGCTGGTAATACTGAAGTTCAGAAGCTTCCAACTGTTACACTGTTGAGTATGAGAATAATTTGTTACTAGCGCAAAATTTTTTAATTTTTTTTTTAAGAGAGAGAAAAGTCATTGGTTACTTTTTTTCTTAATAGGTACCGGACACCGGAGTACTCCCACCAACATGTATTCTAAGCATATACACCATTTAATAATTTTTAAAAAATGGCTTTGCTGGGCGGTATATGTTTCGAAAACTTCAGATGACCAATTGCCCTAAAAGATGAGATAAGATAAGATTCTTTTATTAATCCAAAATAATGGAAATGTTTGAAGATTGCATTATATATTTTCAGCAAATAATTAAAACAATTTGAACACAAGACATTTGCAATAATTTTTTCACTGGCAGCCATTCAGTGCGTTCCTCTTAGCCAAATCGGGGACTTATTAGTTCTCATTCAGATTTGTGACTTCAGAGGGAGTATGCTGGTGGCTTCGTACAGGTTGGGGAACAAAAGAATTTTTATATATTTCAGTCCTCGCCATGATGGAAAGAATTCGTCCCGAACGGCCAGATCCTAAGTATCTGTGATGAAGATGGTGGGATGTATCATTCAAAATGTGTTTAGTTTTACAAAAACATCTTTCTTCAAATAGTCCTTCAAGTGAAGAAACACTTGAGGTGAAGTAGTGGGTGTCGACTGAATGACTGAGACTCCCTGAGGTTGCATAATACTTCCTTTAAAAAATCTAGAATCAATGAGACCAGTATTATTGTGTGGTCAGAAAAAATCAGAAGATACACTTTTCAACGCAGCAAACCAATGGTGTCTGTAGATGATCCGCTATGTTTTTAAGCAAAAATGTAAACACTCATTGGAGGGCCTTTGGTAGTTCTAAGGGAATTATTTTACTTGACATGTTGTCCAAATTTTAAAGATGAAAAATCAGTGCGTAGCTGTCAACAAAGCTTAACGGATGAAAACCACCTTTTAAAAAAGAAAAGACCCCCAAAAAGGTGTCGTAACAAAGACACCAGGCACAAACTTCGACTTGCACCATACACTTACCGTCCCCCAAAAATGTGTCGTAACAAAGACACCAGGCACAAACTTCGACTTGCACCATACACTTACCGTATTAAGCACTGTGTAGTTAAGTTTACGCTCTCTGAGTTTTACACTGGGGCATCTTCGCTTCACTAATGCCACACGCTTGCATGGTTTTCACAGAGGACGTTTGTAAACGTGTCAGTGTAACCGCGTAAATAAAGAACTGTTAGCATGTTCAACCTGGTAGAGTTTTTTTATTGCTTGTCGTCATCCAGTGTGGACGTCATCCAGTGTGTGGGAATAATCCAGTGTGGGCGTCATCCATGGTGGACCTCATCCAGTGTGGGCGTCATCCAATGTGG